GTCCTGGGGAATTGCACACCTCAATGTTTGGATTGTTATAAGGTTAGGACAACTTGTAAAACAATGGGTGCTTTTAAGCTGGAATCATTATTTTATATGATTACAATGTGTGTACTCAGTGTAAATAAAAGAAAACAAAACAAGTCTTAGAAATAAAAATTATAACAAAATGAACACATCTTCCTATACCTATAGGAACTTTACATAATTCTGCATTTTCAACCCTTTTTTTAATTCTCCCAATAAAGCCTTATATTATGGTAGTATAATATCTGTACATTTGTATCGACATAGAAATTCAAAGTATCAGGTCCATTGGCACTCATAACACGTTCGAACGCTACACATTTGCAATCCACACAATCGCGCCCTATTTTTGCAAATATAGGTTACATTGTTAGATGCTTTTAAGATGTATTTATCAAAATATTTCTATTATCATAAAAAAAAAATGTTTAAATGATTTTTTTTTTATAATTAGATAATTAATAATTATATGTTTATTATTTATGATCACTGTTAATTGGTCATGTTGGTATTTGCAAAACTAATTTTGTATCTGTGTTATGTGTTTGAAAAACATGATTCAAGTTATAACTAACTTTGGTTTACATATCTTAAAAATTCTAGAGATCTTTTTGATTTGGAAAGGACCGTGCATGATTTTAATGATTATGACAATTTGTATCATCATGACACTATTCATTATTCATTTCGTAAAAATAATAATAATAAAAAAACACTTAACTACTCTAAACTGGGACTATTACACATAATGTACAAATACTAGTTTTAACACAGTAAAAAAAAACATTATCTTTATTATTTAGCAATACAATAACTAAAACATGATTAAAAAAATTATTCAATACAAAACCTTTAAAAAGGATGCAAAAGTGAAAGAGGTCGAACATGAATGGGAGCAAACGTGATTTTTGGTGAAAAGATCCGATTTCGAAATTCAAACATATTGTTGCGCTGCCAAAAGCAAAGTGATGGAAGCTGACAGAGGAAAAGTTTTATTTGTAACAAACTGCTATAGCTGACTATGCTGTATGGGCTTTGCTCATTGTTGAAGGCCATACGGTGACCTATAGCAGTTAATTTCTGTGTCATTTAGTCTCTTGTGAAGAGTTGTCTCATTGGCAGTCATACCACATCTTCTTTTTTATATGCAACGATTTATCAAGATTTTCCTGCCTTAATACCTTCAATGTATAGCCATACTTTATTAACATTAAAAGAATAAAATAAGAAAAATAAATGCGATAAAAATTTATTAACTTTATTAAAAGACACAGTATATGGAACAGACAAATAAAAAAACTACCTTGGATCCATGAACTACTATACCAGTACAAAAAATAAAAACAAATTAAATATAAAATCATAAAAAAATATATAAATTTGTCAAAAAAAATGGTTTAGGCATGAAATTACCCTCTTTGCCATGTCATTATCAATTTGTTTTTGACTTATGAATTTGAATATCCCATTGATGTCTTTCGCCTAAATTAGCCTAAAATTGTTATCGTCATTTGCAAAATTTTATTCTTGACCTACAATTAGCTTAAACCGTATGTCAATCGTCAACTAATTGCAACATAAATCAAACTATTATTCTTCAAATTATTTACCGTAGACTTTAAATCTTTAAAATGTATATCGTTGTAATTCACCTTATTCATGTAGTTTCTGAATTCAATTAATCACAATATTTCTTGTTTTTTTTTTATTGGGGGACTAACATTTGATATCCTAGTTAAGCGGGGAATTTTTCTGGAACGGTCATTTATTTTCATATGTTGCTATGCATGGTTATATTTTTGTGCGGCTGTGCTGCATGAAAATTTACTTCACTTTTGTACACATTTGATTCCAGCTTTACTAAATCCTAACATATGCACTATAAATTTATAGTTTAAGACAGATATATTCTATTTTTGGTTAACTCCTCTACAGCTGATATCATACTGACTTAATTTACTCCCTTTCTTTTTGTTTTTGTTTTAATTAACTTTATTTATATCTTTTAATTTTTTATATATTTTAATTTTTTTAACTTTTTAAACATATGATATAAACATCCCTCTGTCTCAAAGAAACTCAAATGTTATTTTTAATCCTAAATCCTATCCTAGGTAGATCTATAAATGATGCAAACGAATCATAATTTTAAATACTTTTTTTAAATCCACAGTTATCACATGTATATAAAACTTTTAAACTTAAACACCCCACCACACTATGTAAATATCTTTGTAAATATCTTTTAAGTGTTAAACCTATATCCTAAGTGAGGGTGCTCCGATATATAACGGAGGAAAATACCTGCACAGAACAGTTGAGAGCTGGTACCTTTCAACCTAAAGACTCGAGTGCGTAGTTGAATTTGCCCAGTCTGGTTACCAGATCTATTTTCTGGTTTCTGGTTCTAGTACATGTCTGCGTCGCGAGGCAATCCAGGCTAGTTCCTTCACTTGAACGGGACCAGCTTATTTCATAAACGACAAACAAAGTAAATGCAATATATTATATGTAAGTATTGTAGAAAATCCAGACAATTTTCAATCAACCAGAGCACATCAGCATGTACTTGCATTTGGGTGTTTGTGCTACGAAAAAAACAACAAAAGTATTGTGAGTTCGCAAAATCACTGATGTCAAAACACCAAATATAAAAATTGGCAACTACAATCTGACAATGTCAATGTATACTGTACTTACTGGATGGCTTTAATACTGTGTGATATAACACAAGAACGTAAAACACCTCAAATTCTTTTTCCCAAACTAGCATGTAGACCCTGTAGTCCTTATGTAGTACAAAGGTACACATGTAGGAATCGAGGATGCTTCAAATATCAAGAACAATTTGTTCTAAATCAGACCCCATTCATAGTCCAAATTACTGCAACAGGAAGGTGTCAAAGCAAAAAATTGAAAAAGCTTTTCAAGACGTCATAATTTGGGTTGCCCGATATTCCGACACCCCACTATTCCGATGCCCCATTGGTCCGACACCCCATTAGTCCGACACCCCATTGGTCCGACACCCCATTGGTTTGACACCCAATTAGTCCGACACCCCAATAGTCCAACAATGGAAGGTACATTACTGCCTTAATAGAAAAATTATTTCATAGAATCGTTTTTGGCGTGGTATTTGAACTACTCTTTCTTATAAGTATGTCAAAGAAACAGAAACAGATAATACCATATCTCCAATCTGGTATTTAAGAAATACCATTACAATATGCATATAAAGCAATCGAGAACCTTGCAAGTTTTGGTTAACAGTGTGATCTATGGGAAAAACACTCCACTAAAAAGAAAATGTAAAGAACAGTCCTCAGTAGAGGGCAGTCTCTCATCGTTCACATAATTTAGTCTCGGAAACTGTCAATACCGAAAAAGTATCATTTGACCATGGGAAGCGAATATTGTTTTCAAGGAAAATGATTTCTGTTCATCTACACTGTCATGACTGTACACTAACTTATAGATCGAAAACTTTTAAAACTGAAAGTTGTCCAGTTGTTAATTGATAATACATGTAATATAATCGAAAATAAGTGAGTTTAAAAGTTTGTTCGAAACATCGATAGTAAAATTGTTCAATCACTATATATGAAGACTGTATTGAGGTTGAAACTTCGATAAAACGGATGAAATTTGCTGTCAGAATGAAATTGTATTATAAATACATGAAACATTTGCCACTGGACATTAAAAAAAAGAATCATGTACAAATAGCCATGGGAATGTACATTTAATATCAGCAATTAGATTTGTAATTGCATATTCATAAAACAAACTCTTTTTATGTACATTGTTATTTCCATTCGAGTTTAATTTTTCCTCTTTAAAAACTAATGGGTTGTCTTTTCTTTCCACTTTACAAATGATCGATCACCAGTCGAAATTTAAATCGATTGCACAGCAAAAGCAAACACGTTGCGTGAAAATAACTCGAGCAACCCACAAAACTTCTCTGACATTGAGACAGGAATGCAATGAGAGTTAGGATGCAAGAACCCCTCAAGAATAACAACTTTTAATAAAAAACAAGACTTTACATGTTCCAATCTATTATGTATCTTTTTATAAAAAGGAGGGAAAACATGAAACCTCCTTGCCCTTCTATACGACAAGATTATTATGTCTCCATGCTTTGCTTTATCACAAAGTAAAATCTAAAAACACTTTGACCAGAGTATAAGGAAAATTTTGTTTAATTTCTTGACAAAAAGATTGTGTCTCTGTCAGAGCTGTATGGGTCAATTCCTATACAAATCACTTCAAATTATATTCTTGATATTGTTTTATATATATGTTTTTAAAACAGGCCTGTTAATTAAATTTATTTTTCATTTTTTTTTCTCCAAAAATGTCTATTAACAGTTATTATCCATATTATCATTTAGTTGATATAGGTGTTTTTCTGAATTTGAAGCTGACTTAATTTCTTACCGATTCTCTCCAAATAATCACAGTTTTTTTTAGGATTGATATTCAGTTAACAAACTATTTTCCTGTTTGAATTGTTTTACACTAGTCATTTTGGAGCCCTTTATACATGTAGCTTGCTGTTAGGTGTGAGCCAAGGCTATGTGTTGAAGGCCTTACTTTGACCTATAATTGTTAACTTTTTATACATTGATTGTGACTTGGATGGAGAGTTGTCTCATTTGCACTCATACCGCATCTTCTTATTTATATAAAAGAAAATATGAGATTTTTTAGTGGCGGTTTAACGTCAAACATCAAATATTTCACTAATATTCAGGGCAACAACATATTGACACGAAGACACCAATTTGAGATTGGCCTGACCTGGGACATAATATAGTATACTATTCTAAGGTCTGACTTCCCAACAAATCCTTAAAAGGCCGTCAGATGTCAGAACAATATGGGACTGGAAGATATATCCTGCGTTATACAGACCGACATGCTAAGTGGGATATTAAGGTGCATTTTCTTTGCTTCATATCGTTTTTATACGAACGACAAAAAATTTTTGTGGTCGTATATTGGTATGACGTTGGCGTCGTCGTCGTCTTTCGAAGACACATTAGTTTTCGCACTCTAACTTTAGTTTAAGTAAATGGATCTCTATGAAATTTTACCATAAGGTTCAATACCACAAAAGGAAGGTGGGGATTGATTTTGGGGGTTATGGTACCAACAGTTAAGGAATTAGGGGCCAAAAATAAGCATTTTTGTAACTTCCAGACATAACTTGTGTGTAAGTGTATGGATCTCTCTGACATTGTACCATAAGGTTCCATATCACAAAGGGAATGCTAGGATTGATTTTGGGGGTAATTGCCTCCAAATTTTAGGAATTAGGGGCCAAAAAGGGGCAAAAAACAAGCATTTTTCTAGTTTCATGACAATAACTTGTGTGTAAGTGTATGGATCTCTCTGACATTGTATCACAAGGTTCCATATCACAAAGGGAATGCTGGGATTGATTTTGGGGGTAATTGCCTCCAAATTTTAGGAATTAGGGGCAAAAAAGGGGCAAAAAACAAGCATTTTTCTAGTTTCATGACAATAACTTGTGTGTAAGTGTATGGATCTTTATGAAATTGTACTACAAGGTTCCATATCACAACGGGAAAGCTGGAATTGAGTTTGGGGGTAATTGCCCTAAAAGTATAGGAATAAGGGGCCAAAAAGGGGCCAAAAATAAGCATTTTTCTAGTTTCTAGACAATAACTTGTGTTCAGGTGTATGGATCTCTCTGAAATTGTACTGCAAGGTACCATACCACGAAGGGAAGGCTGGGATTGATTTTGGGGGTAATTCCCTCAAAATTTTCGGAATTAGGGGCCATAAAAGGGCAAAAAAACAAGCATTTTTCTAGTTTCAGGACAATAACTTGTGTGTAAGTGTATGGATCTTTATGAAATTGTACTGCAAGGTTCCATATCACAAAGGGAAAGCTGGGTTTGAGTTTGGGGGTAATTGCCTTAAACGTTTAGGAATTTGGGGCCAAAAAGGGGCAAAAAAACAAGCATTTTTCTAGTTTCCCGACAATAACTTGTGTTCAAGTGTATGGATCTCTCTGAAATTGTACTGCAAAGTACCATACCACAAAGGGAAGGCTGGAATTGAGTTTGGGGGTGTTGAATCATAAGGGGGTTCAAAAAATTTGGGGGGGATTTTTTTTTTTCATTTTTTTCTTTAAAATTTTCCATTTTAAATTGGTTATTTCTGATTTATATATAAAAGCAATTATAATGATATGGTTTGAATAGGTAAATTAAAAATTTTTAAGTTCTTAGACCACTTTCATTCTGTGTGAGAAACCTATGCTGTGTCAAATATTTAATTACAATCCAAATTCAGTGCTGTATCAAGCTTGAATGTTGTGTCCATACTTGCCCCAACTGTTCAGGGTTAGACCTCTGTGGTCGTATCAAGCTGCGCCCCAGAGGAGCATTTTATTTTTTTTTGAGCCTGCGACTTTTGTCGCAAAAGCCAGACATAGCGAATCTACATTGCGTCGGTGTCGGCGGTGTCCACAAATATTCACTCTGTCATGTCTGTGGTTAAAGTTTTTGAAATTTTAATAACTTTCTTAAACTATCCTGGATTTCTACCAAACTTAAACAGAAACTTGTTTATGATCATAAGATAGTATCCAGAAGTAAATTTTGTAAAAAAATAAATCCTGTTCATCCGTATTTTACTTATAAATGGACTTAGTTTTTCTGCCAGTTAACATTACATTCACTCTGTGGTTTAAGTTTTTAAAATTATAATAACTTTCTTAAAATATCCAGGATTTCTACCAAACTTGGACAGAAGCTTGTTTATGATCGTAAGATAGTATCCAGAAGTAAATTTTGTAAAAAAAAGATCCTGCTATCTGTATTTTACTTATAAATTGACTTAGTTTTTCTGCCAGTTAACATTACATTCACTCTGTAGTTAAAGTTTTAAAATTTTTAATTACTTTCTTAAAATATCCTGGATTTGTACCAAACTTGGACAGAAGCTTGTTTATGATAAAAAGCTAGTATCTAGAAGGAAATTTTTTAAAAATTTATTTCCTGTTTTTCCGTATATTACTTATAAATGGACTTAGTTTTTCTTCCAGTTAACATTACATACAGTCTGCAGTTAAAATTTTTTAAAACATTTATTAGATTCATAAACCATCCCGGATTTTTACCAAACTTGGACAGAAGCTTCTTACAATCAAAAGATAGTATCTAGAGGAAAATTTTTAATAATTTTTTCCCCATTTTTGTTGAGCCTGTGACTTTTGTCGCAAAAGCTAGACATAGCGATCCTACATTCCGTCGTCATCTGAATTAAGGGATAAATCATCAAGCAATGTAAAAATTATCTTCTTTATCATTTGTTCATTCAATAAAGTTATGTTTCAACTCTTTTATAAATCTATAGATTTGATTGTATACTGTATTCATTTTTTACAAGCATAACTTTTTTCATACATTTCAAACGTTTTATTTCATTAACTGTAAATCTATTATGTGCATTCCCCTATCACACTGAAAACATGGACAACAGCAAAAGTAGGCGAGACACTGGGTTCCGCGAAACCCTTACAAATTATTTTATAATAAGAATAGAATAATACAGTTATTTACATTTTGTACTTGTCTCAACTTGGCAGGAAATAATGTATGATTGATTGATTACGTCACTATGTACATGGTTTATATTCGTGATATTCGGGAGTATCAGGACGGCAACAGAATATGTCCATTATGATTATGCAAAATAGGTCTTCAAATATAAATAGCCTATTTAAACAGAGGACCGTGACAAAGATAGGGCAAAAAAGGTGAGAGAGCGAAGTAGTGCTAGTACATGTAATACAGGAAGTGTAACAGGTTGTTATGACATAGCTAAAAATACTAAATAAAATTGAGAATGGAAATGGGGAATGTGTCAAAGAGACAACAACCCGACCATAGATCAGACAACAGCCGAAGGCCACCAATGGGTCTTCAATGCAGCGAGAAACTCCCGCACCCGGGGCGTCCTTCAGCTGGCCCCTAAACAAATATGTATACTAGTTCAGTGATAATGGACGCCATACTAAACTCCAAATTATACACAAAAAACTAAAATTAAAAATGATACAAGACTAACAAAGGCCAAAGTATACATCTCGTGCATGAGACAGTCAGGGGTACTACTTGTACAAGTAATTTTTATACGACCGCAAAAATTGAAAATTTTTTGGTCGTATATTGGTATGACGTTGGCGTCGTCGTCGTCGTCGTCGTCGTCGTCGTCGTCGTCTGGCGTCGTCCGGCGTCGTCCGAAGACACATTGGTTTTCGCACTCTAACTTTAGTTTAAGTAAATGGATCTCCATGAAATTTTACCATAAGGTTCAATACCACGAAAGGAAGGTGGGGATTGATTTTGGGGGTTATGGTACCAACAGTTAAGGAATTAGGGGCCAAAAAGGGGCCAAAAATAAGCATTTTTGTAACTTCCAGACAATAACTTGTGTGTAAGTGTATGGATCTCTCTGACATTGTACCACAAGGTTCCATATCACAAAGGGAAGGCTGTAATTGATTTCGGGGGTAATTGCCTCAAAATTTTAGGAATTAGGGGCCAAAAAAGGGGCAAAAAAGAAGCATTTTTCTAGTTTCATGACAATAACTTGTGTGTAAGTGTTTGGATATTTCTGAAATTGTACTACAAGGTTCCATATCACAAAGGGAAAGCTGGAATTGAGTTTGGGGGTAATTGCCCGAAACGTTTAGGAATTGGGGGCCAAAAAGGGGCCAAAAATAAGCATTTTTCTAGTTTCCAGACAATAACTTGTGTTCAAGTGTATGGATCTCTCTGAAATTGTACTGCAAGGTACCATACCACAAAGGGAAGGCTGGGATTGAGTTTGGGGGTGATGAATCATAAGGGGGTTCAAAAAATTTGGGGGGGGGGGGGGGTTTTCTTTTTTTTTCTTTTTTTCCTTTTTTTTTTCTTTTAAAATTTTCCATTTTAAGTTGGTTATTTCTGATTAATATTTAAAAGCAAATAATAATGATATGGTAGGAGATACACACCAAACAGGATGTGTAAATTATTATATAATAAGTATTGTGCAATAGCAAGAAATTTTCAATTGCACAGTATTGCACAATTGCAAGAAATCTCCAATTGCACAGTATTGCGCAATAGCAAGAAATCTTCAATTGCACAGTATTGCGCATTAGCAAGAAATATCCAATAGCACAATATTGCGCAATAGCAAGAAATTGTCAATTGTACAGTATTGCACAATAGCAAGAAATATTCAATTGCACAGTATTGTGCAAAAGAAGATACTTCGTATAAATTGCTTATTTCTTGATCAATTTCAATGGGGTTTTATTCTTGAATTCTTGGGGTTCTTTAATATGCTGAATCTAACCGTGTATTAAGTTTTTGGATTTTGGGCCCCGTTTTTAAATTGGTCCACATTGAGGTCCAAAGGGTCCAAAATTTAACTTTGTTTGATTTCATCAAAAATTGAATTATTGGGGTTCTTTGATATGCCGAATCTAACCGTGTATTTAGATTCTTAATTTTTGGTTCCGTTTTCAAATTGGTCTACATTAAGGTCAAAAGGGTCCAAAATTAAACTTAGTTTGATTTTAACAAAAATTGAATTTTTAGGGTACTTTGATATGCTGAATCTAAACATGTATTTAGATTTTTGATTATGGGCCCAGTTTTCAAGTTGGTCCAAATCGGGGTCCAAAATTAAACTTTGTTTGATTTCAACAAAAATTGAATATATGGGGTTTTTTGATATGCTGAATCTAACCATGTATTTAGATTTTTGATTTTTGGGCCCCGTTATCAACTTTGTCCACATTGAGGTCAAAAGGGTCCAAAATTAAACTTTGTTTGATTTCATCAAAAATTGAATTCTTGGGGTTCTTTGATATGCTGAATCTAACCATGTATTTAGATTTTTTATTTGTGGACCCGCTATCAAATTGGTTCATATTGAGGTCAAAAGGGTCCAAAATTAAACTTTGTTTGATTTCATCAAAAATGAATTATTGGGGTTCTTTGATGTGCCAAATCTAACCGTGTATTTAGATTTTTAATTTTGGGTCCCGTTTTTAAATTGGTCTACATTAAGGTCCAAAGGGTCCAAAATTAAACTTAGTTTGATTTTAACAAAGATTGAATTTTTGGGGTTCTTTGATATGCTGAATCTAAACATGTGTTTAGATTTTTGATTATGGGCCCAGTTTTCAAGTTGGTCCAAGTTGGGGTCCAAAATTAAACTTTGTTTGATTTCAACAAAAATTGAATATATGGGGTTCTTTGATATGCTGAATCTTACCATGTATTTAGATTTTTTATTTGTGGGCCCGCTATCAAATTGGTTCATATTGAGGTCAAAAGGGTCCAAAGTTAAACTTTGTTTGATTTCATCAAAAATTTAATTATTGGGGTTCTTTGATATGCCAAATCTAACCGTGTATTTAGATTTTTAATTTTGGGTCCCGTTTTTTAAATTGGTCTACATTAAGGTCCAAAGGGTCCAAAATTAAACTTAGTTTGATTTAACAAAAATTGAATTTTTGGGGTTCTTTGATATGCTGAATCTAAACATGTGTTTAGATTTTTGATTATGGGACCAGTTTTCAAGTTGGTCCAAGTTGGGGTCCAAAATTAAACTTTGTTTGATTTCAACAAAAATTGAATATATGGGGTTCTTTGATATGCTGAATCTAAACATGTATTTAGATTTTAGATTTTTGGCCCAGTTTTCAAGTTGGTACAAATTTGGGTCCAAAATTAAACTTTGTTTGATTTCAACAAAAATTGAATATATGGGGTTCTTTGATATGCTGAATCTTACCATGTATTTAGATTTTTTATTTTGTGGGCCTGCTATCAAATTGGTTTATATTGAGGTCAAAAGGGTCCAAAATTAAACTTTGTTTGATTTCATCAAAAATTGAATTATTGGGGTTCTTTGATATGCCAAATCTAACCGTGTTTTTAGATTTTTAATTTTGGGTCCCGTTTTTTAAATTGGTCTACATTAAGGTCCAAAGGGTCCAAAATTAAACTTAGTTTGATTTTTAACAAAAATTGAATTCTTGGGGTACTTTGATATGCTGAATCTAAACATGTGTTTAGATTTTTGATTATGGGACCAGTTTTCAAGTTTGTCCAAGTTGGGGTCCAAAATTAAACTTTGTTTGATTTCAACAAAAATTGAATATATGGGGTTCTTTGATATGCTGAATCTAACCATGTATTTTGATTTTGGACATTGGACCATAATAGGTAAATTAAAAAAATTGAAGTTCTTAGACCACATTCTTTCTGTGTCAGAAACCTATGCTGTGTCAAATATTTAATCACAATCCAAATTCAGAGCTGTATCAAGCTTGAATGTTGTGTCCATACTTGCCCCAACTGTTCAGGGTTCGACCTCTGCGGTCGTATCAAGCTGCGCCCAGCGAAGCATTTTATTATTTACTTGAAGAAGTAAATATTAATATACTTATATAAGTAAATTTGTAGGATACTTATACAAGTGTATTTTATTTACTTGTATAGGTAAATTATTTTTTAGCTTAGTTATGTCCCTTAGACATTCAGATTTTTTTACTTATACAAGTAAAAAATTCATCCTATCTTCTTTTGTTGAATTCTTAGGACTTCTTTGCTCTAATAGAATTTTAAATTGTCTGTCCTTTGCAGATGTCTTAACTTATCATTTAAGTGTAATTTCATGGACAATGAAAATCTCATTTGTCTGTTATCTTCAGAACACTGCTCATTTACAAGCCCCCAAGGAGCAATTTTTTAAGGCCTTGCGCAAATACTTAAGATCTTTGCGCAATCAGTTTCTTTGATGAATTAATGAGATGACACATTGAACTCTAATAAAAAAATTATGAGCTCACCTGGGAAAAATAAATGGCATGTTTTTACATCTCAAAACTTGAGAATGTTTGTGGGATTGTAAAAAAAATTTTACTTATACAAGTGAATTTTTTATAAAATTAAGGGGAGATTATTCAAACATTATAATTAACTTATACAAGTATATTTTTTTTACTTCTTCAAGTAAATAAAGATTACTTGTACAAGTAGTACCCCTGAATGTGAGAAAACAGTTTATGGACTCCACATTCTTGACATAGCACTCGCGACAAAATTTGTTAATATCATTAAAATAATATATTTATGTGGCATAGAAGTATAAAAGGGGATAGATAATATGTATGGACCTTGTAAATGCAGACTAAACAAAATCTGGTAGAAATTTGTTGTTACATGTATGAGTAAGCATGGTAAGAGCAAGCTTAAGGACAGGTTTGATACAAATCAGAATAATGTATATTACCTAGTGCTCCATATGATGTCTTTTAGTGAGATTTTACATGTACCTTGTGAGCTTGCAAGTTGCAGAAGGTAGAACTGCTTTTAATTGTGTAGAATCAAGTATTGTTTACTTGTGGCTGCTAAAATGGCTTAGATAAAAATCTGGCACATCATATCAGTCTTGTTCTATACAAGCATTTATAGTTCCACTATGGGTAGTACCAGGACAACTACTTAATATTCTGGTTGATAATTTTGGCATGATTATCTATTTTCATCAAGTTGTATGAACAATAATTTACGTTATCTTTTTTTATAACACATATTAATTTTATTGCACCTTTAATCAGTTAATATAAAAATAAGGAGATGTGGTATGATTGCCATTGAGACAACTATCCGTCAAAGTTTAAATGAAGTGAATGTAAGCATTAACAAGTTTGAGCTTTTTAAAAAGCTGTGGACTGCTTCGCTTTACCCTAATTTATGGTAATATGTGTGCATGTAGTTGTTGAATTAGTATTCTGGAGGTGTGCCTATATTGGCAGAAGTTATAAAATACAGATAATGCATTTTTGTAAACATTGCATAGGAACATTGTTTAGCTAAACAAATCGTGCATATTGCAGATTAACAAAGCACATAAACACGTATTAATAATTGATATTTCAATATTGAATTTCAGTGTGCAATATATGCATAATAAAACGAACATGAACTAATGACAGTTGATCGGAATACACAGTTAATTTTCCGGCATTTGGTGTCTTATCCTGAGACAAGAAAAGTCTGTAATTCTTTATCTCATTTAAGCCAATAGCTGTTGCTGTATCTCAGCCGCATCATAAAGCAACCAATCAGAATTTATATGTGATTAGTAATTATTTCAAGATGGCTTGTTTATCGACTGAAACTAATAGCTCCGCACTGTGCGAAGCAATTATAGGCACTTGTATGGCCTTCAACAACAGAAAAAACATACTGTATAGTATTGTCTATAAAAGCATGTTTACTGTTAACAATTTACCTATTCTATTTATATAGCTTCAATTAAGTATGCATATACATATGAGTTTTTGAATATTTCGGGAAACTATTCAATAAGGTAGACAAATTTAGATACATTGATCAATGTTGATATTGTAAATTCAGAAATTATTGAGAGGTTTTTATTGTGATTAATGCGACTACGTGAGAAATATAGAATAAAGGACTTTTTGTTTTTGATACTGACTTTATCATGGTAAAATATATTTTACAGTGATAAAGTCAGTATCTTAAACATGTTAAACAAAAAGTCCTTTATTTTTTTTATCTGTAATTATGAAAAAATGAAAAATACTATAATAAAAAAAGAAAAGAACAAACAATCTACAGTACTTTATTGTGTTGAATCACAGCGAATCACACTTGACGTCACAGGTTGCATTACACCATTTGAAGTTTGTCATAGTCATGACAGTGCATAAAACATGTTGTTCTCTTTCACAAAGTATTGAAAATGAATAATTAATGCATGCGTTCCATTGTTTCTGCTTTAAACATGCCTTAAACAGTGAGAATGTCATGAATGTATTGCAAACATACCGATAAGTCAAATTTCTTTTATCTGTATGATGCAGTAAAGGGCCAAGTGAGCTTTTCTCATCACTTGGCGTCCATCGTCCGTAGTTATCCGTTAACTTTTACAAAAATCTTCTCCTCTGAAACTGCTGGGCCAAATACAACCAAACTTGGCCTAAATCATCCTGAGGGTATCTAGTTAAATGTATCCGATGACCCTGGCCATCAACCAAGATGGCCGCCATGGCTAAAAATAGAACATGGGGGTAAAATGCAGTTTTTATATGACAGCAAAAAATTTATTTGGATCGTATAATGGTATGAAGTCGTAATCGTCGTCTGCGTCGTCATCCGAAGACACATTGGTTTCCAGACAATAACTTTAGTTTTAGTGAATGGATCTCTATGAAATTTTTTAAGAAGGTTCAATACCACAAAAGGAAGGTTGGGATTGATTTTGGGGATGATGGTCTCAACTGTTTAGGAATTAGGGGCCCAAAAATAGTCCAAAACAAGAATTTTTCTAGTTTCAGGATAATAACTTGTGTATAAGTATTTCGATTGCTCTGAAATTGTACCACAATGTTTAATACCACAAGTAGAAGGTTGGGATTCATCTTAGGGGTTATGGGGCCAACAGTTTAGGAATTAAGGGCCAAAAAGGGGCCAAAAACAAGCATTTTTCTAGTTTCCAGACAATAACTTGTGTGTAAGTTTATGGATCCCTCTGACATTGTAACACAAGGTTCCATATCACAAAGGGAAGTCTGGGATTGAGTTTGGGGTTAATTGCCCAAAACATGTAGGAATTAGGGGCCAAAAAGGGCCAAAAACAAGCATTTTTCTAGTTTCCAGACAATAACTTGTGTTTAAGTGTATGGATCTCTACAAAATTGTACTACAAGGTTCCATACTACAAAGGAAAGGCTGGGATTGAGTAATGGGGTTATTGCTCCAAGGAGGGTTTCAAAAAGTAGGGGGGGATTTTTTTTCCAATTTTTTTAAGGGATTCATCATGTTCATATTTTTTTTTCAAAATTTTTCATATTTCGAATTTTTGAAAATTTTCAAGAAGAAATCTTTCATTGCACAGTATTGCGCAATAAATTTGAAAGATCTTTGACCACATTTATTTTGTGTCAGAAACCTATATTATGTCAAAAATTTGATCACAATCCAAATTCAGACAGTATCAAGCTTGAATATTGTGTCCAAATTTGCCCCAACTGTTCAGGGTTCGACTGCGCTCAGCGAAGCATTTTATTGGCTTATATCTCTGAAACTAAAGCATTAAGCATGTTAAGAGCAAATTTGACATGCGGTAAAAATGTTCATCAGGTCAAGATCTATCTGCACTGAAATTATCAGACGCATCAGACAACCCCTTGTTGGGTTGCTGCCCCTGAATTGGTAATTTTAAGGAAATTTTGCAGTTTTTGGTTATTATCTTGAATATTATAATAGATAAAGATAAAATGTAAACAGCAAAATTGCTCAGTAAAGTTAGATCTACAAACAAGTCACCATCACCTAAACAGAGAATTTTGTCATGAATTCTTTTCTTGTCTTTAATGTTGTAGAGTGTCCTTTGTTTAATATGCACTGCAGCACATAGACCAAGGTGAATGACACAGGCTCTTTAGAGCCTCTAGTTTTACATACATGTAGCAAAGAAGCATACGATTTGAATCATTGTTTTAGAAGTTCAGGTAAAATCTGTTATTTACTTGTAAATTATCAGATGGATAATTTCCTTTAAAATCACATCTTATCCTTATACGCTTGGCGTTCAGCCAGAAGACGATCACACTCATTCATGATTTTAGGAAAGCACTCTGAAAGCAGACAATTATTTTTTCAGGTGTGGGCAGCATGTTTGTAGATTATCTGAAAGCTCATGTCTTGTTAACCTCATAATTATTTCAAATATTTCAATGAATGTAACTCGAGCTCAACTTTGGTCTATTATTTAGTTTTCATGTTTTTTTTTCAAGTCATGTCATTTATTTTTCAACCTGGACCGTTGAAATATTGAAGTCCCTACCGTTACCTGTAATTTGTTCACTTATTTGTTTTTCGGTCTATGAATCATCATAAATAACTGTCGATACATTGGCAATAAAATCACATCTCCTTGTCCCATAAAAAAAAGATAAAAAAATGTGTATATTTTATTTTTTTGATTTTAGGGTCCATCCTGTGATTGCGTTACCTTTTTGGTCACCATTTATGTGTTGCGTCTAAATATGAATTGTAACACTTTATAGTGACTGAACAGGTTGAAAAAATCCTCCTCAAGAAACAGAAAAAGAAGACACATTGGAACAGCACCATACTGTTTAACATTCAAGCTAAGCTGCTTATAGATAGATCTATAGGGATAGTAAGGTAAGCTATCAATAGATTAAATAATAATGGGGATATATGAGTCATTCCACGGTAGTGGCTAAAAATAGACTTCTCATTTAAAACAAGTAAAAACTAAGTCTTTGGTCTATATTTAAGGTCATTTCGTAATGTCATGCTTTAAATAGCATATCAAAGAAATAAAAGAAGATATAATTTCGGTTGTTAATGTTTTTTTAAATATATTTTGAAACCAGTTTATGATGAAGTAGGGTAAAATAATCGGCCATTTTCTGGGACATCCTTGGTACGGTGTTTTCAATTATACACAAATACGTTATATTTGTTTATTTATGTTTTATTGAGTAATCTATGGTGAAGTAGATGGTTTAAACCGTTATTATACGCGATTTTGTTGGAGAAAAATAAACAAAAAAGGTAAAAATATTGTTTTGAAATTAATGTAAACGATCGCTACTGTCGTGTCCACTGTCAAACCCAAAACTAATGGTCTCAGGATTTTTAATTGTAGGTGCCATGCATGAGCGATTATGTTTAAATGCACCAATTATGTCTTCTCTGTGTAAA